AATTATTTCGTTCACCGCTGGTTTGAATTTGAGCCTTTCAAAGTGGCCTCTCATATACGTAGAATAGATGGTCTGCAAAGCGCTCTGCTCGGGGAACGGTACTGCACATGTCCAGAAGTGTCGTTGCAACCTCGGGTTCACCGTAAAGGAGCCGGCAGTAGGATTCATGCACGCCAAATACTGAGTATTTCCTATGTCCTTCAAAGTCATTTTCGTTCTATCATATATATGCTTATAGTCCTGACATTGCCTCAGCAGAGCGATGGCACTTTGCGTGTTATAGAGGTCCAACGCGGGCATGTTGAGATCGTCTATGAAGTATATCAAATGAAGTTTCCCCGGCGGAGCGAAGAGCCTTCCGGCCTTTTTCTCTAGGGGTATTTCCATCATCGTTTGTAGCAGACTACTGTCAGTGTAGTAGTTCATGTTCATCATATGCGACGCGAAGACGTCAGGCTCGAGATTCCGCAACAGACCGTTGCACATCGCAGTCTTGCCGCATCCAGCTAGACCAATGAGCATCACTGGTTGATGGACCTTCATCAGAGCTTGCATGAAATAGCTGGTCGCTACCGTCTCCGAGGTTGGTACCGTAACCTGAGCAAATCCTAGTCATCAGTGTCATGGAATATCCGCATAATCAACCACAGGTGTTGGTGACAATACTAAAATAGTGAGGAAATTCTGGGAAATTCTTGTTGGTTTCCGTACAATTCGTATATAAACTATCATTTTATTGAGGAAACTCCTGAGCTCAGCTGAGGAGAGCGAACATATATTTCTACTCCAACACTGTCCTTATCCCACCTGGTTCATAGGAACCTCCGATGAGTACTCCAACGGGTCCACTATAATCGACCACTCCTCCATGCGAGCATCTTGGACGAAATAGTCAAATACAGTTCCCTTGCTGGGGAATTTGATCGTCTTCATTTCTTGTTTCCACCAGTTACTGAATTGCTTTCGATAGTCAACTCCGTCGACTTCAGCGAGGCAGCCGCCCACAGCCCAGACCATGCAAAAGCAGAACCAGTACTCGAGAGCATCAAGCTCAATCTGAGGCGCCTCTTTCGAGTCCGTCGATCCAGCGCCCATCAACGACTCCATGAGGAGACACAGGGACTGTATCATAGAAATATCCACCAGGGGGACCTGAGATGCAATTTAGTGACAGATCTGGAAGATTACTATCCTCAGATACAAATGAGCCTGGCA